TAGCTTAAATCTTATAACACTATACATTTATATATAATTATTATTTTTATTATATTGACCTTTCCACCATGCCTGGCTAACAATACAGAAGTTACAATGATGCAGCATATGTGCACTGGTGTTACCGTATCCAGTAACATAAAACTGATCTTTGGTCTGTACAAAGTAACTTGTCTTGGCTGTGTTTTAGTAGACTAGTATTTTGTAAAATACAGTCACATTTCAATTATTATACATTATATATGTATATAGATTATTGCTATTTTGAAATAAGTTCTTAAACTTATTTTTCTTAAAACATAGAACAGTAAACAAAGAAGTAAAGCGAACAATTATTTCTTCTAGTTATGACCTTTGTACTCGGTTGCTGCTTGACATAGATTGCTAAGCCTTTACAAATTTTGAACGTGGAGGATATGAAACAAAATAATTTTTTTAGGTTTTATATATACATTTGAATAACTTAAAAAATCATAAATTACTATATCAATACCATAGAATTCCACTGTAATTTATCAAGCTTAGTAACTAAGCTGTAGGCAGAAGTTGGCTTGTGGCATGTTCAGGAAATTACATAGCAGTTGCACATGAGCTAATAGTTCTTGTTGGTGCAGAGTTACATTTCTATCTGAAATACATTTTCAGATAAGGAAAATGTTAATCTTAAAAAGATCATGCATGATCTGATAACAAAAACAAACATATTTTATCCAGCTGACTATAATGAGTAAGATTTTATTCTATATAATCTACATCACAATTACTTCGCCAATTCATTAATATCTGCCAGTTTTTCAAATAAAGCATTGTGGAAGAAGCTAAGAGACAGTATAAAATCAATTTTTAGTTAGCTCCTGTTGTTCTTGTACAAGCTAACAATAGAGTGAATTACATTACAAAAAGACATGTCTGTTTATGTGGTTTTTAAAACTTTGGATTTGAAGAATGCATGTTAAAGGGTAAAGTAGACAAACAAAGCTGAAAGAAGAATCCACAGCAGGCAATCAATGGACTTTGACAATTTAATTTTCTGTTACTTTGACTGTGCAACACTCCAGTAGCTTTTAAGAGATTATTGAGGTCTGTTGTAGGTGGATTACCATTTTGTCTTGATGTAGCTTGACAGTATTGTACTTCATAAAAAAAAAATGTACTAATGTGCTTCAAGTGTTTAGGAAGGAAAATGGAAATCTTGAAAACAAAATTACTTTTGCTCACAATGTTATTATTTTTACTTGTAGCTAGTGGCCATGAAATTTGCATCATTTCTCCATTTTCAGAAAATCTTAAACAAACCCACAAAAAGTGAATGGGTACTCACCATTTTTTGTAATTTATTTAATGAAAGCCTTATTGTAGCACTAACAATTAACACTGCTACCAGCTGATAGATATCTACAAGCATTATAACATTTCTCCCAGTGTATAAATGTAAAACTGAAATATCCGAGTAGATTAGTCAATTGTGCAACTAATTAGCGAATAACAGATTTTACTGTGACTAGTACCGTATACTGAAATAAAACATTTTTTCATTATGCAGTACTTTTACAACTAAATCGGGACTTCATCTGTGTAACAAGTAGCTGCTTCATAAAACATTCCAATCGTGAATGTTTGCATACAAAAATAAAATTGATCCTTATAAGATTGTCATATCAATACTTCACAAACTATGATGATATTTCCCTTTTCTTTCCGAACTTAAACTAACGATGACCCACCCCCAATGAGTGAAAATAACTGTTTTTTGTAAATGTTAAAAACATTGAGCAAAGCCCATATATTAATGTTTGACAATTTTTCTTGTAAAAAATTGAAATTCCTCTATTCATATTTTTTTGCTTTTAGCATTTAATTAGTTTGTGATGAATACATGATTTCTAGTCAGTGATGTATCTTTTCTGTCTGTTTAGGAACACTATATATTAACACCACAACTTAGGTGTTTCCAAATCAACTTATTTTACGTAACAAAAACACCAATGACATTAAAAAAAAACTACTTAATGTTAGTTACTTTGTGATGTTATGGATATTTAAATGATTTAAGTAATTTTTATTGGTAAATTTTAAAGATAACAGTTACTTGCTTTCTAAGTACATGTTGAAAAAACAGTATTAGATAATACAGTTAATTTACATTTGTTTTTATTGTTTATTGTACAATTTTTAATTAAGTTAATACATTAACATATGTAGTTTGTACCATTTATTGATTAGTGACAATGATTGGTAAGAAAGAAGATTGATTACATGAAGGTGGTACATCCTGTATACACGGATAGACTGAATTCTAAAACAGTTTGGAAGTCATTGTGTAGTACATATACTAGGATTTACAGACTTGTCAACATTTAATTGCCATGAGACAATAGAACCTATTTGTTAGAAAGTTTTGTTGGGCAGAATATGTTTTTAGTTTTTTTTAATCATAACATCCTGAAAAAAAAACTTGTTGACTGACATTTTGACATTTATAATTGTGAGTACTATACATTATTCTTGTTGTTGTTTTTTCCAGATATTTTTTACAAAGCTTTGGAAAATTACTAAAAGACGTGTGGGGTGAATCAAGATGGAGAAAAGTATTTTGTCTCAGGCTTATTGACACATGAACCAAAAGATTGCTTGTAGTATTTACTCATATTTTAAATGTATGAGAAGATTTAAAGTTAGAGAGAAAGTACTTCATGACTGAAAAATATAGATCATTTCCTAATGACATAGAAAGTATTACAAAGAATAGTTTTTTGAATAGCAGAAATGAACCATGCAACAGAAAAAAGCTTAGTTAAGATGAATGGTTCAGAAAGTGCAGATGTACAAATAGCTGTAGAAAGGATAGTTGAAAACAATGTTTGCCTCAAAAGTGCAGAAACAGATGTGCATGGAACGTCTTCTGATCATTCATTCGAAACATCTGGTACTCGCATGTCTGCAACATCTGAAAGCACATGTGCAAACCAGGATTGTAGTACGTTATTTAGAGATTCTTCAGAACATCTGTTAAATATTTCTAGTAGCAAAGGGAGTAATGTATAAAAACTGACAGTAGTGGTATACTGTGTAGTGAACAATCTAAAATTGAGATTTACTGTTCAGTTACTACAAACGATGAACTCTCTCAGGTTGGATTGAAACATAATGAAAGACTAAAAGGTGAGGAAGAATACAACGCCATCTGTATGAAATTCCCACAAACTGAAAAACAAAAAGATGACTGTATTCAAGCTAGGCCAATAGAGAATGTAAAACAAGAAGATGACTGTATTCAAGCTAGGCCAATAGAGAATGTAAAACAAAAAGATGACTGTATTCAAGCTAGGCCAATAGAGAATGTAAAACAAGAAGATGACTGTATTCAAGCTAGGCCAATAGAGAATGTAAAACAAGAAGAGGAAAAAGAAAAATGCTTCGATGAGACAACATTCCTACAAAAAGAAACATTAAAAACTAAAGAAAAACTTATTTCTGTTCAAGATGAATCAACAGAAAGTGTAGGATTGGAAGGAGAAAAAAACTACCTCCCAAATGAAGTTCAAACCCCTGAAAATGAAAGTCAAGAAAGTGAAAAAAATAAAGTACTGGAGAGCAAAGTGCAAGATGTGGAAGAAAAACCTAATCAAATGATATCACTATCAAATGAAAAACAAGAATGTTTGGGTGAATGTGATTACAATCAGATAAGATTACCAGTAAAGGGAGATACAGAAGAACAGGTCAGCCCAACAGAGAATACTATAGAAGAATGTAGCACATTTCAGTCAAGTCCACAACAGAATGAAGGAACAGAAAGTGTAGAAGAAAATGGTAAAATTCAAGTTTGCTCAACATCTAATAAAAACGATGACGATGTAAAAGATCGTAATATATTTGAAAAGCAAGAAGGCATTGAACAACTCAATAGTTTTCACACTGAATTGGTACCAAAAAATGAAAAGGAGGACAGAGAAGAAAATGATGATAGATTTACTTCTTCATCTAATAGTAATTTGTGCAAGCTTTCAATATGTACCACTTCCACGACTCAAAGAATTCAGAAACCTGGTGTAGATTGTGAATTGGAGGTGCAAAATAACTCAAGTGAAGTTACCGACTTGACAAGGATGAATGCTCATGTACAGGCTATGGATAACATTACAAGCAGCTTTACTCATCAAAATTCTGTTGTGCCATGCATCAAAACAGAAGGAGAAATTTCTTCCACCCCTTCAGAGTATAGTCCAGATAGTGGAGATGAAAGTGACAATCTATTATCAGAACTTGAGACTGAACTTGATTATGTAAGTGCCAAAAGTGTTCAGCATCAAGTGGCTTACAGTGATGGACCACAATCTTCTGTTTATCATCTCAATGATGTAAAGAGAAACTACAGTAATCATTACAATGAAAGGTAAGAGTGTACATAGACCTGTTTTTGAGTGATTATTTAACCTAAGGATAAACATATACCAGAATTCCATAGAATTCATTCAGGCAGGGTTCTTTTGTAAAAAGGTTGATTAAATGTACCTTTTGCAGATACCTCTATTCTATTGTGAGGAAAATGTCTTAATTTTGTAGCAAGATAGGCATCGGAGGATTTTTAGGTTTGCCGGCATGTGTATTTATATATATGCTATAATCATAACCTTCATTGTGTTAGATAAATGATAGCCTGCCAAAAAAAAAGCATTATATATTTTACAAATTACTTTCAATTTTTTGGGAAAGGTGTGCTATCATAATGTTGGTTCGTTTGGTTTATTTAGTAAAAAATGATGTGAAGTCTGGTCGATGTATAATGAATGAATTCATTTTTTGTATAATGTTTATTACAGTCAAATTCACTTGTCTTCCTAATTTCTTAAATATCATTTTAACGTAACCTCCACAACTATATGTAGGTTCTTACTTCAAATACAACATTTTAATATAAACTGTGACATGTACACCTAACTTATAAAATTTCCTCACAAAACTGACTGATCAATAAACATTGCTAACTCAAAGAGTAATTGAATAGCACTGAACCACTCAATGAATACTACACAGTATTATTAACTGCTCATTCATTACTCATTGATTTACTGTTTCATTTGTATTTATATCTTACTTTCTACACAGATTTTCCAGACTGTAACATACTGTACCCTCTAGCAAATATATAAATTAAAACATTGAAAATAAAGCAGACAATGCTGCCCCCTTTCTGGATTATGAAGTCCCTTGAACAGTCTTAATACTCACAAATAAAACAGCACTAAACTGTCTATTCACCAAATTTTTTTGTGGTTTTTCTTCTCTCGGGGTTATGGTATGCAGACATGATGACCTCTTGTCCCTTATCATCATGTATTGTCTTGTTACTGGTGGATTTCTCTTTGGGTAGGTGGTTGAGCAAATCCACTAATGTCTCCATGCTTGATCATCCACGAGAAGTGGTCTCAACAGGAACCCCAGACTGTTCGGTAGGTTGACTTTCTTGTGGCAAATTTTTCTCTGAAGTTACTCAGCTTGACATTCACTCACCAAAGTACTACCAAAGGTTATCATGGTGGATGACTTCACAAAACATACTTACCTTCTCTCACACTACAGCTATTACTCAACTGCTTGGGTTTCATTTCCTTTGCCCATCTTAGCATAGGTCTGATTTTTTTTCTCACTTGCTCCAGTTTTTTATTCTCCTTGGATGGGTCTTGGCTACCCCCCATGGCTATTCTACACTCCCCCCCCCCACCTTGATAGTGACAAATGTGAGTAATTTCATCCTTTTCAGAGATCTTCTCATCATTCTCATTTGGATTCCACTCATTGGTGAGTGTTGCTTGGTCAGGTATGCTTTTACAAATCCTCAATAGCTGCCAGTAGAGTAATTATATTTTTGGTAGCAACAAGCTCTGTTGAGATGGGGTGTTCCATAAGACCATCTTGGCACTCCCTGGGTGGTGAATAACTGTGGTATATCAGATATAATATACACTACTCTACTGCTACTCATGGTCTATCATGAGGAAAGCAAGAAGGCACTTTGCCCATCCCTGCTAACCCCTGAATTGAAAAAATCAGGGTTGGTTTGCTTTTCAGAATTGGGAATGTGGCTCATCTATTGCACTGTTTCTGGAACATCATTTTTCAGGACTTCCAAATGCAAGTCACCCCCCCCCCCTTCTCTTCTAGTGGAGCAAAGGAGTCCTTATCATTCTCAGCTTCCAGTTGCTGGAGTGGTGGACAGGGGTCTATTCCTCCTGAGTGATGCTTGTACTCCTTATTTCACTCAACGATAAGAGGATGAAGCTGGATACCCTTAACCCTGGATAGTTTTGGGCATATGTCAGGGTGAGGAGCTGGTCCAGCCTAGGTGGGAGCTTCCTTGTAATTCTAGTTCAGAGAGGATACTTCACTATCCATGTTGTTTGAGCATGGCCCTTCTTTTTGAATATTCTCTTACTTTTCATGATCATGGAAAGTTCTCAACTGCTCATAATTCTGCATGAGGAGTGTCACGTCTGTGAGAGATTGGTCAAACTATCCTCCTCATAATTCTGGGGCAGGAGGTGTTACCTTGCCTTCCAGGTTGAGGAGCTTGGATTTCGGTTTGTAATCACAGGCCAGATTATCTCTATTTCTTCAGGATGGGTGAGGTATGAATTGGTTCTATAATTCCAAGTTTGGTTTGTTGCATTTTGAGCTTCTTCAGGTTAGGGGGAAGACCTGTCCAGTTTGTTGTTACTTGTCTTCCTTTCTAATTCTGGTGGTTGCATGCAACATTCTATAACTTTCAAGTTGGGTGCCTGGGCCCATAATTCCAAGTTTGGTTTGTTATATTTTGTGTTTCTTCAGATGGGAGTGAGGGTTTGACCATTTAGATGTTGCTTGCCTTCTCTTCGTAATTCTGGTGGCTCGACATGCAACCTCCTGTAAGTGTGTTTCGGAAGTTTATGTTTTCCGATACTGAAAATGTATTTCCAATAAGACATTGATGTAGGTGGAAAAAATCATAAGATTAAAATCACTAGGGTTAATATACTGGGTATAAAGACTTGAGCAAGTAAGGTAGTTTCATACTTAGACGGGTAAAGAAGAGAACCTTTCATCAAGATAAAGCTAAAGTGTAAGCAGAGGTAAGTATTACAGGAAATTGTAAACTTCAGGTTCTTTCATTGACTTCTGAACCTTGTGCAACCTGGGTTTATGCTTTGATGACTTATGGAATAATGAATATATCTATCTGATGACATGAAGAACCCTCTTTACAGACACAATTTTACTTCTAGCACTGATTAAGGCTATAGATAAAAGATGAGCTCTGCTGTATATATATAAGGAATTTTCTTCCTGCTTTCTCTGAAAGTTGATTATACACACCATTTATTTTTAATGAAAAATTGGCAGCTCTTTCGAAAGCGCAAGAAATTATTTTCTTGTAATCCAGATTTCTTTTCATAAGCTCATAATGGTTTTGGAATCAGTGCTTGCTATAACAGTAATGCTCAAGAATTTTTCTTTTACTTCACCACAATCAGTCATATAGCGAATCAAAATTGACAACTATCCCACATTGTTGATATCAGCCATTATAGAGTAATATTTATTATTCAATTCCAAGGCATCACAAACATCTAGAACTTTGGCAATACAGGTCAGCAGATCACAAGCTATAGCTTTGCTTACATGTGTCAAACAGTCACTCTGATTTTCCATCCACTGCTTCAGAGAATCATCTTGTAGCATAGAAAGATCAAAATTCAAATATTCCTACATAGTATGTGGGATTTCTTCTTTTGCTAAGAAGTAGATGTTTCTCACAAATGCAGCCATTACATCACTGCTGCAACTATGTTCCTGAGTCGTCTGTTGAACAAGTAAAGTATGAACCAATCTTTTAAGACCCTCTTCATGAAGCATGTTTCTCAGATTTAGAATGTTTGTCGAGCTTCTCGGGTATTTCCAGTTGCTTTTTGAAAATTGGTAAATGGAATTGTTATGAAAACTCCACCTGTTCTATGTAATGCATCTAAATCATTTTTCAAAACTTCTTGGCAGTACTTTCAAAATGCCCCTCCAAAGGATGTATCAAAAAACAGCCTTTCATGTTTCTCTTTCCATTTCTTCAGGTATTTAACCAAAGTAGTAAAGAGGTTGAGGAAGTTGCACCAGCAGAGGTTGACAAATCAACATCAGTAGTCCAAAAACTCAGCTGCTTAACTTCAGTTTGAGCCAGAGACTCAACATTAGCACCACTACCTGTAGTCTAAGTATCTTTGTAATAAACTATAGAATTGATTTCTGTGACATACTTTACAACAGAAAAGTTAAAATCACAACATTAAGTAATGCACAAAACAACCAAATAACATTAAAATGCTACTATACAAATAGTTTGCACATGGGCTTACAAAGCATGAACCACTTTTCTAGAAATGTCCACATGTTTAATATTGTCTAAACACTTCAAGGAATTTGAGGAATGTATGATAATAAGTCTATGTTTAGCTTATACAATTTGACTCTAATACTGGATTGTTTGATACAAGCCTCTCCTTCTCACAATATACAATGGCTAGCTGTCAAGGTTAAACACATCATTCTTTGAGAAGTCTCTAAAATTTTGTGTTATTATGTTTGTATAATTGTTTGGTTCAGGTGTTTGATGAAATAATAGCAAATCTCAACACAATATACAAT